CCCCCAAGATGTCTGAAAGGAATTCCCCAGATTCCTGCCAGACAATGATCAACACAAAGCAGGGGGGGTTCTTTCCGTCTCATACCTTGCTGCATATGTGCAACAGGGTCCAAGCAAAAAAGCAGATTAAGACCCGGCAGAATAGCCAAAATGTTCCTCACATTTCCTGCTTATTGAGAAACCACAGCAATGTCTGATGATGCCCTCATGACCATTAACTCATTACTCTCACTGAATTCACTTTATAACAGACCTATGTGTACAGTATGCACGTGCGCTGGACACACAAATTTTCAGTTTTAACACTAAAGTCACACCGTAATAATATGGCACAAATACACGAGCAGCACATAAAATGGAATTACGTGCACTGCTTTTACACTGATTCAACATAAAGTAACATAGATGCATTGTATAGGCAAACCCACTTGAGTCAATCACTACTTTCAATGCCAACGAATTTAGATCGAAAATATGAAGCAATGAATTTGGGGCAAAATCTGATCTCATGTGCCAGTACATACATGCACTAGTACAATTTGCATTTTCATAAGATTCTAAAACTTAGAATGGTTGTATCAGATGCTCAATTATATACAAAGGTTTGACTGTCTAAAGTCCACCTTAAATTGACATGTAGTGGTTTGACAATGCCCATTATATCTACCGTTACTGTCAACTGTGATAAAGTTCATGGCACGACAGAGTACAATACATGCACAGAACCCACATAACCATGCACGTACATTTAAGTCTGACCTGAATTCAAGCTAATTTGTACTGCCATTGAAATGAACATCAGTGACATACTGTATGTGTAATTTGAATGACATACATGTATGCCATTTTTGCACACTGCATGTATGAGACCCTCCAAGACAAATAGTATCCAGGAAACAACTGTACCTTGTATTGATTAAGGTTTGTTTTTTGTAGGCCTCAACTTCTTGTAAACTTGATACAAAAAAAGTAACAAGAAAAATGAATTCAACAACTTTTTTGTCAGTCGGTTGGTCACACAAAGTGCTGTACCATGTGCACTAGGGGTACATGTCCACTTCATCATGTACACATAGCTGACAAAATTGGCAAGACCAAGGATGATGTTTCTGGAGATCAGCTGCAAAAGATTCAATGGTAATTCATCATGCATGCCACTATACTCTTCTTCACCAAGGTACCTGTACATGGTACAAGCATAGAGGTAGGTAATTCAAGTCTGATCTCTGCCTTTTGGAACCCTCTACTATGGCACACTTCCACCTTTTTCTGGGCGTTCCCAGAGTTGCTCAACATCACTGATGATGTGACTTATTTCATTCTTTCCAAATTTGTACCATGACAGTATCTAACCCTAGAACACTTAATTATCAGGCTGTCAAACCCGTGATTTTCTTTTTGAAGAAGATGGTGATTAAAATTATTATCATCTTCATAATATACCCCAAGTTTCATGATAGTCTGAAATTATTGAATTATGTAAATTGCTTGAATTATTTGTCAAATTTGGAAAAGGGTCTCTTGGCGCTTTTCCAAATAAACTGGGAATTGTTTCACATAAACTCCAAACGCTTCAACTAGTCACAAAAACCAAGACTAACGGCAGGGATATTTAGAACTTACCCAAAGTTTGCTTTCTGTGCAGTCTTGGCTTAACTATAGCACCATCAACGAGCTAGAGGCCAAAAAAACCCATGTAATAGAAGATGCCCCATGTTACTGTTAGGGGTCTTATGACCCATACTTTTTTTGCGAGTGTGTGACATCAAGTCAAATGTTAAAGTTTAACAGAGGAGGCAGATTTAGACTCCTTTGTTTACATTTTTACTTTGCCTCCACATTAAGCCTTATTTAAACATTCTCATGGCCTTAAGTCCTAATTCAACGAGGGTATGTTACATCATTTTTGAAATTGGAGGATTGAGGATTCTTAGGGCTAATGCAGAAATTAAAAACACTGATTTGTCTACTGAGATTAAAAGACACATATATTTATTGCACCCTTTTCCTTCCCACAATGCCTTTCTACCATTGTGCAAAATCACCCATATGGTATCAGCAATAAGACTTAGGCCTCGGCTCTCCAATGATGCACCAACTCAATCTGCCCTGTGCATGGAACAAGTACCAGTAGCAATGATGTCCAGGCGTGGCATATATGTACATGTAGTGTGGACCTCTGTACAAAAGAAGTCCACATAATAGAGGGTGTGATGGCATTGTGTGGACTCGCACATGTCCACACAATGTTTTCCCCTCTCTGAAAAACAGTTTCAGAGGCATTTTGGGGTCAAGGTTATCTGAGGCAAAATAAAGAGGAACAGTCCAGGAAATCATCAAAAATCCAGCTCGAAGGAAATATCCCAGTGGGAGAAAAAGGAACAGTTAGTTTCCTTAACTACGGGCGAACAACAGAATGTCCACACTTGGTACATGTATGTAACCCAGGTGTAATGTGACTTTTTAGTGTTTGGCATGGGAAAATACTGCATGCACACATATGTTCAGCCCTACCTGGGGCATAACGTTTCAAATTTCTGCTGCAAAGTACAGCCTCACATGTAGCTAAATGCAGGCATCAAGTCTGAAAGAGACAGAGTTCCATACACAGACATCCGTATAATAACCTTCCCCTGTAGTGGTTCATCAGCCACCGTAAAGTTATTTGGTATAATTGAGGTACATGTTCATATTACCGGGGGGAGGTGTTCTTAGTGAAAACAATGACCGAAGAGGAAAATCATCAGATTTCTCTTTTCTAATTTCTGAATGTGAAGGGAACAAACAATGGGATACTTTCCTTGAGTGGAAGGGGTTGAATGCCCCCTCCCCTCAGTTATGCCACTGATGATGACATTCAAAACAGTCCAATTTAGCGGTGAAAATACTGACATGACTGAAACATTTGCTTCGAAAACACTTAGCATTCTTTATATCTGTCTTATACGGGTAGTGCACTGGTTTTTCAAGTGATGTTTGGGCATGAACCTCTTTCCTTTGAAAGTTTTTCCACTGCCCCGGTCTCGTATTTGTGCTAAGCATGACTGGCGTTCTTTGTAGTCTCTTCAATAGCATGCTTAACACATTCGGACATGTTTTCATGACATAATGAAGTGTCGATTCAGTATTTCTGCCATTTTGGCCCAGGGTGCACACTGTGCATAGTCCAAGTTACGCACTTGATTGACTTGTACATCGTGTATTGGTACTATACTATCGCCCGACCATGTCCAAATGTTAAAAAGGCGATTCGTGGAGTCCAAGTTACTTGGACCATGCTCGGACTAATGTTCATGACTGTATAGTCGCTAGGTCCCTGATTTTGCCACCTATTCAGGCTATTGTCAAGTCTGATTGGTTTCCACCGGTAGGCCTGAGTGGCTAAAAAAAAGGGAAAGGAACCTGGCGGCCATGCGTATACGCTCACGGACGTTAGTCATTTCATGCTGAGGTTCACACTCTGTCAACATGAAAAATGGGTAAGGTTCCTTTTTTACGCCCAGCAACGGGCTGAGTAAAGGCTGCCGAATTTCGAGGTACGGAGTAATAAGTTGGGGAGTACGGTACGGACGCTGCCAAGGCGGCACGCGTACGTACGTGTACATGTGAGCACACTGCACGCACACACAGCCCGGTGTTAGCTTCTTGACGCGTTAACCATGCAAACGTTAGATCGTATCACTCACCTCGTCGGGCGTAGACAGGCGGCCTAGACTGCTTCAGTAGCAATTGCTGGAGAAAATCTGTTATTCCTTCAAAGATAAGATAGCTTGGGTCCTTCACAGATGGGCATGGGTGGGGATTCTTCCGACTCAACCTTACTACCGTCAAGAAGCACACGATTCACAGCACCGAATAGTCCAGCAGCTAGCCCTCACCTGATCGTGATATGCTCGCTTCAAGAGCTCACGAACACCTGTCATCGATGCCTGCTGCGCGTGGACGTCTCTTCCGCCGCAGCTTGAAAGGTGGAGCGAAACACCGCCCTCTATTTTAGAGTTTTCTGCAATAATACAAACAATATTATTATGATTTTGGTAACCGGATTTACCGGTATTTATCGCGGCGCACATGACGTGGCATTGATGTCAGTTCACTGTCGACGCACTGTAGGCAATGTATGCAAGTTGATTTAGGACATTTTGAAATTAGAGTTTCACGTTCTAAAAATGCCCGCCTTAAAAATTTCCGCTCTCATTCAAGCCTGCACCAGAGTGAGAGCGGCGACACGTGACTTTTGGGCCCACCCAAGACGCAGTAACGACTTTTTAAATTAAAAAATGGTCTTCCAGTGCTTGTGTTTGATTGGACATAACACAATACAAGAAATACAAAGGCAGAGTTCTTAATTTAACCACTAAAACATTTTGATACATTTTATAACAATTTTGAATACCAAAATAAACAAGTTGTACTGCACATTAGTGAGACATCTTCATCGAGAAACCATCAAAAGTGTTAGGAGCTTAGTAATAAAAGGGGTGAATAAAAATCGATAACAACTTTGGTTTTAAATAATGAGAAACGGGTCCCAGATCTTGTACAAGAATTTGCTTCTCATCTGAAGTCCTCATATCATTTCTGTTATTTTGATATTAAATTCATGTGAATATTTCATTTTATTTCATTTAAGATATGGAAACAATAAACCTAACCAAATTTGAAATTTGTTTCCCCTTGTTTGGCAAACAAAAGTAGCTTGTTGCCCTGATTTTCGATGAATTTAGCTAAGATTCTTCTGCCTTAAGTAAGCCTAAGGGTATAAGCCGCCAGACCTCCCCACATTCCATCAATGAACTCTAGAAATAATTTATTTCGAGTGCACGAAATGATTTCGAACAACCAAAATGATTTCGAGCAAGCGAAATTATTTATTTCGAGTCTCTTACTTCAGCGTGAGTTTTAAGCTTTTCAGATCGAGTTGTTCCCTGAGCATGTGTCTTTAAGATTAAAGCTCACTATCATTCAACAGTCTGGTCCGATCTCTTAAAAATAAAGAAAAGCAAGATTTTCGAGCAAACGAAATAATTTCGTGCGCACGAAATACAAACTGAAGTTATTTTTGTATTCTGACTTTGTTTTCAACGCATGCCCCTTTGGGGCTCCGTACTACGGACGAATAAGTTACATCTTTCGGAAAACGTCCAAGTTTGTCGTATAAACCACCTGCAGTTCATCAAAGGATGACAAAGCCAGCCAGCTACAGTATTTACATACTTTTGCGCGTGTATGTGACAGAGTCTCTTACTTCAGCGTGAGTTTTAAGCTTTTCAGATCGAGTTGTTCCCTGAGCATGTGTCTTTAAGATTAAAGCTCACTATCATTCAACAGTCTGGTCTGATCTCTTAAAAAAAGAAAAAAAGAAAAGCAAGATTTTTGATGTTGAAGTGTTTTACATTTAAGAACAGAAGTCAAATGGAACGATGTCTGGGAACTCAGGACGCAGGACATCTGATCCTTAATGGTGCCCATATCACACAATTTTTTTTGAGCAAAACACCCACAAACTGTGCCTTAATTTGACTCCAGAATTACACAACACAAAATGCATAAAAGCTAGTTCTACTCACTTAGATGGCAAATACTCTAGGTTCAGAATGACCCATCACGTGAGCAAAAGGGTTCAAATACTCATTTAATTTGAATTTACGCATTCGACTCCAGAACGACACGCAAATGAGTAATTGTTCACTTACTCACTAAAATGCGACACAGGAAGTGGGCACCATACACAAATACTCACTGACAATAGACACACGTGACAAAAACTCAAGCTCAAAAATGACCTTCCATATGGGTACGTTTCTGACACACATAGTACTAGTGTATATTTATTCTGGAGTATTCAACTCGAAACAAATGACTACACTAATGCATCTAGTGTGTAGGAATCTCTCATGCAGTGAGTTTAAGCTATGCAAGAAAATGAATTTCTTACATTCCTAACATTCCTAAGTAATTTCATATACGGTTGACCCAATTACTGTATGAGTGGCGTGGGCCAGTTATTAATCATTGTGTAAGTTTAAGTTAAGAATATTTATGCAATAAACGGTTTGTTGATGAAGGTAAATATCCAGCATTAATGGTCTTCTCTCATCACAAAAACCATCAAAGCGAATATCAAAATAGGTATGCACTGAAATTGACTTACTGATGTTCATTATGCAGTGTTCAACAAACGTTAGTGTACATTCTTAATTCACTGAGGGTAGGTCATATTCAGGACGGAGTAAACAGGCCATTAGACAAACATGTATGACGGCCGCAACAGTGCCGGGTCTTGGAACAGCTTGGACGTTTCTAATTCTGCACAGATAACAAATTAAAAGTGTTGCCTCCTTGGATAAGATTTCTCCTTTCTTAGACAGATGTGAGGCTCCACCAGGGCCGATGTGTCCTACAAAAATACGTACGGGCAGTTTGCAGTGAATTTTAGAAGCCATTTACTAATGTTCTGCGGTTGCAACCATTGTGTTCCTCAGTTTACTTGCTCTAAGGTAAAACAAACCCTGATCATGTCAGGAAGGAGGAAGAAAGGGGTGTACATTTCAATCTCCGAGAGACAAGTTTCCGAATATTTTGTGACTGTATCGTAAGTGGTACCAGTAGCGTTTTTTTTCGCAGACAGGTTTGGACAAAGAACGTTTACGAGATACATGATAAGATAACTCATTATTTTGTTGGTTCAAAGCATTAGTTTTGATAACCAAATGTAATTCCTTTGCTTTTGATCTCGTCAAGGAACACCAAAAAGTTATAAGCTTTCAGACCATTTAACCTACTAGTCACCTTCACAGATGAGATGGCTCTTTCTTTGTGAGGAAAGCTCGAAATAGGGTTAGATTAAATTTTTCATTCATTTCACTCATACAAGTATTATACAGCTCAAAAGAAGATATTCCATCCATTTTGGCAGACCCTTTTCTATAACCCACATCATTTGGGAGAGTACTAAATAGAATTCCTAAGACTGCCTATTGTCTGAATAATTCACGCTAACATGTGGGAAGGTAACAGAATGCACATACCTTTCTTGCTTAACTTTGCTTCTCTCTAATGTTTCTATGGCTCTGGCACAAATTCTTGTCAGCAGAATGCAAACGACTCAAACATACTAGACTCGGGCAAGCTGAGCTAAGCTGAACCCGTCATCCCCTAACTCTTTTCAAGGCGCACTGCTAAGTATCACTGTGTTGGGTCCTCGGGAAAACTACGCATAACTTTCTGATTACTAGTCCGATTGTCTCAACAGAAGACTAACATTAGAAGAACCAGCGCGCGAGTTGCCATGGTAGTTTTTGCACCAATCCAACTCATTCTGTAGACTATTTATCATCACTCTCTGTACGAGTATAACGATACGTCTTCTGAGTGTAATTAACTTTCCTCATTAGTAACACACTATGGTGGGTAAATCATGGCACCAACGAGCTGAATACTGTGTCTACTGGTAAAGTAATAGTCATACTCGATAGATTGCAGATCATTTTTCCGAGACTCAACAACGTATTATATACAGTCCAGAATAGACTTGAATTACGAAACGCAAAAATGTATTGGCAGGAAGCAACACAGTTCTGTATAAGCACAAAATTTGCTTAATTTAAGCACGAAAAAACCTTGCTAAATAAACAAAAGTTACCAGCTCGAACTCTATGTGATTGTCATGCTTATCAAAAGACAGGTAAATACTATTCCAAACAATATACATCACAAGGAGTTTGGGCTGGTATAAACCTAATTTGTCAAGCAAGGTTTTTTCCCGCTTAAACAAATTTTTCGCTTAAGCAGCTCTATGAAATTGGCCCCAGCCTGAGTTTACCATGATAATGCATCAATCAACTCATACAATGATACTATCTGTCCCAGAAATCTATCCTTAAGTGTCCGTCCTGAAGAGAGACTAAGCAGCACGTTTTGGCGCCATACGCCACTCCAAACGGACTCACCACCAAGGTTTACCTTGATAGCCGCTCGTCTGGGTTCCAAAGGGTTGGTAGGGAGGCCGGGGCGACCTCAGCAATAAGTTAACCACAATTTTACTATGCAAATGCAAAAATAATACTGATTTTCTACTCATAGTACGCCTCAATCGACCCATCAAGTGTTTGGCATGTTATAGTACACACTCGTGCGTAAGAAAGGCGCATATACTCACACAGGCCTACTACAAGTTGAATTACTCAAAAGGCAGAGTCAACTATCATTTAACACAACAAATGCGAGATACGAACGTATTGCATCAGTAATACCATGCTGATGAGTAAGCACCAAATGAGTAAACAGTTCTCATGCGAAGTCGTATTTATACTGTAATGCTGAGTAAAACGACACAGTGAAAACGCGTCGTCCACTCATTTACTCAGGTTTGTCGAGTATTTGTATATTTTACGCACCTCGACCAGCGAATAATTTTTGTGCGAATGATGGAATGTGAATGAAGAACAAAATGGCTAATACGTTTTAATTTCAAGAGGAACTTGTAAACTCAATATTTTTATTTTCCTAATTTGTTGAAGTGTTAGTCCATAAAAGCCATACGACTGAAACGGGATCTGTCCGATCATCACTACACGCTCACTCGTCGCCCAGCGCCCGAACAGGGCTAGGGGAAGGGCTAGTGACCTTGGGCAGATTTTAGTGAAGGAAATACGTCACACGGGGTTACAGCTAACAACGCAGAGAGCATAGTTGAAATTTCTGTCTGGCGTGCGAGCTCGTTCAATGTGTTACACGAGCAGTGGTTTTCAATTCGATATTTATTTCTTTTCGTCCTCACTGCAGAAAATATTCCCACTACACTTTTTTCGTTCATCCAAAATTGACCAAGATGACTAATGACTTGAAATAATCGCCCCAAGACACGTGATCAGTGATACTTAGTGAGAAGACAAATTACCACACTGCAATTATTCCAAGGCCATGTTTTCATTATATAGCCGACCTTAATTTGCAAGCACCAAAGCATTGCCATTGACGAACCCCCAAAGTTGAAAATAGATCGTGCACAATGTAGCCAATCATAGTGCAAAAGCCATCAGCCCTTCCCTGTTCCGGAGCTGACATTTGAAGCAAACGATGGGACAGAGAGACCCCCGGGCCCTTGCCCTTGTTGTCATTCTTGTTATACTGGTATCTCAGGAATTCTTTTCAGACATCTAGGGGGGATGTGGAAGTAACAATAGGCTGGAGCGTGAAAAGGGATTAGACTTGTGGGGGGTACCCCTCTGTCCCATTTCGTGCCTTGTATAGGAGCTGGGCCGGCTGCGAGCGAAATGATCGTTCTGACTTTTATCTCCTGAGGGCGCTGTGAAACTTAACTTTTTTGCGCGAGGATCATGTAACTCTATGGAGAGGATTGAAATCAGGGAATTAAATGGCAAGCCGGCAATGTACAACTGCATGGCAGGGGGAAATACAATGGGACTCCTAAGCCGAGAGGGGTGTGCCCGCCCCTGGAACGGGATGAGAAGGTCTTTATGAATGGAGGATGGGGGGCGGTTAGATGAAAGGCACAGTCTTCAGCCGCCAATGGCACAAACTACAAACTAGGGCCTCCTGCTGGCACTGACCAATTTTTCTGTTGAAAGCACATTTTCACAGTTTGTTTACTATTTTTGTTACGTTTTCAAAATAAAATTAAGCATGATGAATGATGTAATTAACAATGATGAAATCAATCGAACACTTAGGCCAAATCAAGTGCAAGGTTTCAAGGATTTTCTCCATGCACCGTGTACAGTCAGCTAACTGCCGCTATATGCACGTACGGATACCCACGGTATGCCTAGCCTGCCGGACGCGCAACGCCGGAGATCGCTTCCTCGGTCTCGTCAACGTAAACAATGTTCGTGCGCTATTCACTAGTCACGTGAAATATCTTAGATTATACCATTTATCATAATAGGGGTTGTCACTAACAGGCAAGCACTCTCTGTGTCAAATTTAATGATATTAAAACAACTATTTTGTAGTTACATCAATTAAGCTTTTTTAAGGGGTTATTAGCTCAATATAGAAATAAAAAGAATCTGATATAGATAGATTTCTCTTCACCACACTGAAACCCCTATTCACCCATCCCTGTATTAAATTGGAAACGTTCAGGGGGGCAGGTCAATTTCTGTTGCAAGCTTTTTGACACCGGATTGAAATTGGCCCCAAACTGTGCAAATTGAATCTTGGAAATCTTGGCAAATTAGCGATCTACTGCAAGCATGTCCACACTCTTCACAAGAGTTTAGTCGTGACTCGGTTGTCAGGGATTTGGCTGGCAAGTCGCAAAAAATGGAGGAAATTGATCATGTCAGTTGGACGAGTTTGGGCAAAGCCGTGGCACCGTCTCCAATCGGGACGGCTTTCCCAATGACCGTAGAGTTAGGCCTAACGATTAGCTTTATAACGCTCTATGGATTTATCTTCGGCTTGGTTTACATCCAGCTCATACTCATCCTGTATTATGGACACAAGCGTCTCAGTTTCCAAACGGTTTTCCTGTTCCTGTGCCTCATCTGGGCTGGCGTACGAGTTACACTGTTCACGTTTTACATCAACAACACGATACAAGTGGACGATTTGCAGATTTTTGGATACTGGTTCTTCTTCTGTTTTCCAGTGTGCCTACAGTTCATCACCCTCTGTTTGCTGGTGTTGTACTTTGCACAGGTGATAATTAACAGGATTGTAAAATTTTGGATCAGTTAGTTTACTTTGATACAAACACTACTGCGTCAGACTACTGCTGTGAACACATGGTGAACATGTCACTTTTAATAATATTCAGACATGCTCGTGATTTATTCCCAGCCTTGTTGCTCTGCAGCTGCAAATACTGCATGAGTGACTTTACACTTCCCTCCCTCCCTCCCCTCCCTCCCTCCTCTCCCTCCCTCCATAGTGTCGTCTCTTAGTCTTAGGGCAAAGGCAGCACAACAGCACATAGTATGCTCACATTTAGGGCAAGGGCAACACAATGGCACGCCTGCTTGCACCTGTCGTACTAATGGTACAATTTGGCATATGAGTTGGTCGGCGTACGAGTTGGTCAGTTTATGAGTTGTTTGGCGTACGAGTTGGCCAGTTTATGAGTTGGTCGGCGTACGAATTGGCGCGTACAAGTTGGCACTTTTACGAGTTGGTCAGCAGTACGTACGCTGATTCTGATTCTGTAGATCTGTTGTTTTGCAGTAGTATCGTATTTTGGTGTATTCAGTGACAGTACACGGTAGCTCTTTTTCCATGGTTTACTTAAAAGGCAAAAAAATGCTGAGACTGCCTTGGACAAGGCTACATGTAACTCAGCAAAGGTAAACATGGTATACATGTAGTATGCCAGTAAGTGTTTGTGTTATAACGTGTGCTGTGTCATGGCAATATGCCTACAGAATCTAGCTTTTATTTTTGTCATAGATGAAATGCAATGTTGACAAATTTTTTATGAATTCTGCAGGGTTTGACCTAAGAACACTCAAGAAAATTGAGAGAAAATTGAGTTGAGAAATTTTCAGTTAAAAACTGTCAACTGGTTTAGACCAGCCCCGGTGGCAGCACTGAATTTGGCAGCGTTGTACTTGAGTACTTTCTAAGTACCAAGTTCTCTGTCAAATACATGTATTTAACCAGTTAGGAGGAAACAAAGCTGAATTACATGGGCATTTTATGATACATGCACAAAGGTAAGATTACAAAGTAAAATGATGACTTCAGACTCTCACTGTTTCATAAGAATTAAGCTTTCAGGACGAAAGTACTCAAAAAGTACTCGGCAGGGTACTTTCTGAGTACTTTTCTCCTTACTTACAACTTAAATTTTACAAAACCTGGGAGTGTCTGAAGTCTTGCATGTAGTTTGTAATCTTATCTTTGTGCATAAAATTTACCATCAAATGCCTGTGTGCTCCAGCTTTTTCCCCTTTTACCAAGTTCGATATTTGACAGAGAACCTTGGAACTTGAAAGTGCTCGACTACAATACTCGACTACAATACTCAACTATACTCGTACAGTATTCAGGTCCATCCCAGCTACAGCTACAAGAGCTTGATGTAGAATGAAATATTAATTAACATCAAATCTATTGGTACATTACGTAGTTGTATTAGGGACAAGATGAAAAAAATTTTCTCCCTCTTGAGCTAACTTGTACGTACAACTTCTTTCTCGTACGTACGACTTCTATCTCGTACGTACGACTTCTATCTTGTATGTACGACTTCTATCTTGTACGTATGACTTATTAATCATAACTCATACATATGACTTATATCTCATGCGTACAAGTTGTGATGCATATGTTGTACGTACTCGATTTCTTGTTTGTACGCCCAATAATAATGAGTTATAACTTAGAGACATTCAAGTCTTCTCATAGCAAAAGGCTGACGTTTATTTCAACGCCAAGTCCAACATTTCAAGTTAAAAGAGTCATACTGGTAAAACATAAGAAATATGCTGCATGTATACATGTACATGTACACATACAGTGTACCTGCACAACTATCCACAGGTTGAAATGTGGGGAAAAGATTTGTAACCACACAGCGTTTACAGTCATATTGCCTTGTTTATTTATACAACTGTCAAAACATGCTGCAACATGTCGTATATTGAAACGCATCAACCCGTCTTTCCTTGTTACAGTGTGGCACTTGTATCTGAGCACAGTGTAACCTTGGCATATGAAAATCAGGTGTTTTTGTTCAGTTTTGAACTTGGGACTGTGGTTATATGCTGTTTTTGTTGTTTTGTAACACTTATGATGGATCAAAGGTCATTGCACTGTTGAAAAACTGATAGTTTATATTTGCTTATGGCATGAACATTTACATGTAGCCTTTTAATAATATCAGGGTACATTGTCTAATCTGCTGAAACTCTAAGGAAAAAATGGATAGAATGAAATCATTGCATCGGAGAACGGAGACACTGCAGATATGGTATTGACATACATGCATTATACATAAATATTAATTTACAGTCCCAGTGATGGACCTTGCAGGTATTCTCAATGTGGAAGGAGGTCATCTTAACCAGCAACCACCAAGGCACTGGTGGTTTTGCACTCCCACTGAAATTTTTACCATGTTGTTCCTGTTTGTGTTAATTGGAATTTTTTACAAAACCGTTATGTCTCACACACATGTGACTGTTACGCATGCAGTTTCTGCAAAAATGTATCTTGTGAAGTTACTGTGCACTTGAGTCATCTGCAAATTAAGAGTTTTCAAGGTGACAGTCTTTACTTCTGTTCATGTGCATGTGAGCGTGACACACACGTAATTAGTCTGATCACAGATTATTAGGCTGTAACATCAGCAAGGATGACAGGCTGGATACCAGACTATATTAGGCCTACATGTACATTAGCTGGGAGTTGATGGTCATGGAGCAAACTTTTCCTGATATTGATACTATTTCATGTGACCATGATTTGCACTGCACCATGTAGGGTACATGTACATGGCATTGTTGGAAAAACAGGAACAGCAAATTTGAAGGGAAAACAGGACGAAAATAACATAAATGCAAGTGTTTGGTAGGAGAGTGTGAAGTAATCTCTACAACTGTTGTATTGGTAGAAGCTTTGTCACATGATCTTTCAATGCTGCTTGTTGTACATGGAGCATGGACCATGAGTACAGTGTACATGTACATACATGTATGTATGTATTCCGGAGCCAAGATGTCAGAAGTACATGTATTGGTAATATATTGCCTTAAGGAGGTTGTTTTCTTCCAAGAAATTACCGTTTTACATTTATGAATTCAAAATATGAATAAAGGCATTGTACGTCCGGATATCAATTCCACTTTAAAGCATTAGTGCCACATATTTATACATGTCTACACTTGGTAGAAACCAATTTTCCTCAATTTTTGCTGTTTGAAGTAATTTTTCCAACTTTTTCTTAATGGGGTCAGATAAATTGCATCTCAGCTTAATGTTCATAGTGTGTACCGTACTTCAATTGAAAAGACATTTATCATGGTTCAAAATATTGATATTTCTGAAAATCATTTTGTGAAAATTTACATTTACCCTATTATTGTCATTCAAAAACACTTCAAAAAGTGGTCCACTGCGACTATGAGGTATTGTGAATTTGTGAATATGAGTCATACATGTATATGTGTTTCTGGGTGGTTTAAATTGACGCATACACCATGTACACGTACATTATATTCATGTAGAGACCCATCTTGTCTGTCCTCATAAAAAGAAACTTGGTAGGAACGAGTGAAGTTGTGAAATTTGATGAAAACTGTTTTTGTTCTACTGGGTGTATGTCAAGTTATTGTGTACAAGTGTACATGTCCATGTATCAGCATTATCCTGAACTACATGTAGGGGTGTGCATTTCTGGGTGTTTTGGAAACGGGTACCCGTTTTTTTGTCAACATAAGGTACCCGGGAAAGAGATCACTTAATAATAAGAAATGGCATTGCGCGCGACCCCGTGGACCATATGCCCAAAACACGGGGAGCAAGCAGCACATTGTTCTAAATGTCGGAGTTAATCTCTCCTATCTTTTTATCAAACAAAATTGTTCCCTTCAGTTTGCAAATTGTCTTTTTGTGGGTATATGAAACAGAAAAACAAAATTTTTATGAGGAACATTAGAACAGACGAGAGCTGCAAACCAACAACGCACCAGCAACTGCTCAAAGGAAATGCCCCTGATGCTTCCACGTATACGCAGAATGCACATGCACAAAAAGTGAGCGCTGGTCATGTCACGTGCGGACCAGATCAGTGCTACTGTACGTATGTCACGTGTTAAAAGGCTTTTGTACAAAATACCTCCGTAACTCAAACAATGCCAACACCATATATTCACTTATTTTGAAGTTTCTGATTTTCAAAAGCCACCACCAAAATGCTTCAAATGGCATTGAAAGTATCGTCTATAAAAGTCTATAAAGATTTAGGAGTCATCACTGGCAAGTGCATTTTCTTTTCTCACAGGGACCAGTTGTATGCACATTGCATTGCATAAACCAACGTTACCCAAAACTGCAATCCTGGCTTTCAAGCCACTGAAGCTAACCTGATTGCTAACACGGGCCCAATTGTAGTCCCTTTCAGGCAGTCCAATCGCTGATGCTGCAGTTATCAACAGTACTCCACGCCGCACAGTTGACAAACCCATTACGTCACATACATTTCTGCCGTGCCCTTGTAGTTGAGTTTGCAAGGAATTTACAATCCGAAAGTAGGGGAAAAATCTTTCAGTTTTCGGTCAATTAACAAAAAACAGAAACTCTAAAAGTCAACAGACATTAGATGCTAAAGTTTATACATGTATGACAATTCAATATAAAAAAGTATTTGAAATCACACGTAGTAAGTGACCTATCGCCGCGTGAATTCTAGTAGTTTTTTCGCTCTTATGAACTAGGAAAAATCGGGAACTAGGAAAACGACTACAGTTCAATAAGCAGTGTAGATAACAAAAGTAGCTGTCGACCTCCAAACTGGAGTTTCATGTATGACCGTGGGACTGGGTTTTCAGTGGCACGGTGATTTTCAGCAAGTAGGCCCTTGAGTATGAAGTTTCACAGACATTTTATACATGGATGTTTGTTCTTAATTTATTTACTTTTTTTTCATTACGGGTACCCGGCCTGAAAAATTTGGACAGGGTTTTGATATCGAAGAGCCGGTACCCTGCACAGGCTTATCCTGAACTCAATTGCAGAACTGCTTCATCATTCAACACCTCATAAGAAATGTAACTGTTACTAGTTGGGAGCTCTTAACTTCCCAAGGCATGGGAACATTGTAATTTACTAACATGCCGGTACCGTCCGTTACACGTGTGTGGCAAGAGTGATATTTATAGAAAAAGGTCAGGAACTCGGAAATGTTCATGGCTTACTAAGTTCCTCTGGTGGCAAGAAGTCGTAATTCCAATTATTTTAGAGGTAAAAAAGAGAGACAAGTACGTCCTGTGGAAGTGCGAGGGCTTTCCTGTGATAAATGAAATGGAGAAACATTTTTACATTATGTTTTTGTTTGTTTCTTGTGCTTTAGTTTTGAATAACTTTTTCAAAGTGTACACAGATCTGCATGTAGGGTCGTACGTGGTTGTGTAGCTGGTACATTTTGCAGAGGGGCACTCGGGGACTCCTATGTGTAGTTCCTGTAGGCAGGTAGGGGAGCACTTAGTAGATTGATCACGGTTCAAACGCTAACCAAGGCAGATTATCAACAGATTTTTGTCCTCTAATTTCTTGGGGGGGGGAGGAATAGGCATGCCCCATTCCTCCCTTTGTGGTCAGTATACGTGTAAGCTTTAGTTTATGTATGGTACAGCATGTCGGTAATTAGGAAGAGGATTTCTTTGAGGCACACTCAGATCACTCTTGAGGAATATTGAGCTTGTGTTTTATATTCTTTTGTGATACATGTAGTTTCAATGTAAAAAGCATACATGTACAATGTACATGCTGTACTTTTCTCACACAGGCACACATTTTGCAAGTGTATATTATATTAAATGTGAAGAGTGCAAAAGCATTTTGTAATAGAGGGAAGATGCATACTGTTCTTTCTGTTTACTCTATGTACATGTAGGAAAAGACCATTCTTCCTCTCTTGAACCTCATGTCTTGCTTGATTTGTTTGTGTTGGCACATTGCCAATGTTTAGCTGTTTGGCACATTATTAAGTAGGCTTTTATGCATTTACACAGCTGGGTTTGGCATGGCTGCAAACAGCAGATCTATGTGAAGGTTCATGGTCTATGGTCCATCTCGGATAGTAATCCTTCATGGGACTTCAAAGGGCCATGCAGCTGAAGTTGTTGCAGTGGAATCCTTCAGATGCACCCTTGTGTCACATTTATAGCTACCAGAGTTGCTGACTCAATTCATGTGACTTGGACTCAACTCGAGTCGCTGTTTTTATGACTTGTGACTTGACTTGTGAATACCAGCTTTGACTCATGACTTGTCTTGGACTTGCAAAAAAAGACTTGTTACCAGCTTAAGTCAGACGCTACTCGACTGGTGCTATTATATTTGATTAAGCTATTCAGTTTATGCCATACAAAATGGACTTCTGCTTGCGCTGCTTCTACTTCACCCAGCTGTAGATCAGGGCAGCATGCATATGCTGCTACGTTTCTTGCGTTGACGCATGACTAGCATAAACAGCGCCCTCATTTTGTTGTCATTTCATCTCAACGCTTATTTCCACCCTGCAAAGTATATTTATTAAATTAAACAGAGGTCCAATATACGACAGATATGTGATAAACTGAAAGAATAGTAATTACAACAGAAGAGAAAAGGATAATTAATTTTCAAAATAATCGGAGAAAAGGTGTTCAGCTGTCCGAATCTCATAACTCGTAACTTCGTAAGTTGACACCTGGTTCTTTTTGCTTATTACAGCTGGACAAAATAATGTGCAGTTTGATTTGTAATTGGATAAAGAGACTTGTGACTTGACTTGCTCTGTGACCAAATGACTTGTGACTGGACCTAATGACCTGTGACTTGACTTGCTCTGTGACCGAATGACTTGTGACTTGACTTGTGACTGGACCTAATGACTTGTGGCTTGACTTGGACTTGCATATAATGACTTGCGATTTGACTTGTTGGACTTGCAAAAAATGACTTGCTGCTACCTCTGATAGCTACATGTACATGTGTATGTACTTCAGCACCAGAAGGTGCTATAATTTTGAGATTTTCCGGGTCAGTTCTCCATGTTTTATGGTTTCCTTTTGCTGACTGTTTGAAAACCAGTCAGCAAAGCAATCATCGAGCTACATGTATGTGTGTAAATGAATGTACTGACCTCACAACGAGAATATTCTCATATATTAGTAAAGTGATGTACATTTTAAAAAAAGTCACCCATCAGGATGTAACACTATTTTCACAGTCATTTATATTTGCCTTCAAATACATTTTAGTCTAAAATCGGGTCATGATCTACCTTTAATGTGCATTTTTCGCGGTGCTTGTTTTGGAAAACTTTTAATGGCAGATCAAAAAAGGTCTGGAATGGTTATACCCCGGTACCTCAAGGCCAGCTCTTGAACTAGAAATTCACATTGTATTCACCTCTCTATAAATTTCAGGTCCTGTTCAAACTGAAAGCAAGGACCAAGCCTGAGAACTACAAGCGGCATATACGGCATGTCCGTATCACCTTTGTTGTAATGGTGACAATTTTCCTGGTTATGAACATCACCTGCGCCGTGTTGACGCGGCTTTACAGCAACTCCCCTGTGCTCGTGCCAATCCGCGTCAGTATCAGTGGGTTACTCTTCATCCTGGCCGGGGTTGTCCTGGCATACCTCATCTGGAAACTATCCAGGATGCAGTTTGTGGGCAGTATGCTCCTGGAAGCCAGGGTGAGTCTTCAGATGATTAAAAATCGCCAGAGAGCAGTAGGACTGCTGCAGTGCATCAAGATCCATCACAATTCCATCATAAGGCATCCAGTCTTAAGCCAAAGTCACGAGCCATTCACATGAACTTTGACCAAAGCATGCATTTCTTTGCCATTGTTTACTGTGTTACTCATGATTGGTATTGTGATGGACTTGACGACAGCCCTGGAGAATGGGTTGCTTGATAAAAGCTTTTCCTACTTCGTATTCTTACCAACTGCTGCCAGTCTTTCAGCTACATGCTGCTAAGCTAAAGTTGTCATTTTAACTCAAACCCCCAGGCCTTTCCATGAGGTGCACCCACTGCATGCCTAATATTTCAGCACCAACCAGTGTGCTGAAACCCAAGGACTTGTTCTCACTTTCAGAGGGCATCAACCTGTATGCATTAAAAGTAATGGTTTTAGCTTCTTTAGTCCTTCAAAATCGTCCAAAATTTCATCGCAGATTTTGAAGGATTGGAAGAAGGTTAGTTAGAGTTGTCTGAATGGTACATGTACATTTTCAGTGATCTTCTATTAATCTTTACCCAATTTTTCTTATAACTGGAAATAACTAAAAGTAATTTAACTGAATGTACATGTAATTAGAATTTCCAAATAAAAAATGACCTGTCTTTTGTGAAGATAACTTAATATAGACATGATCAGTTCCCATATTTTTTTTTGCAAGATTTTCTAACGAAACATGCTTTTTGTTTTGTGCTAGGGAGCCACATTGTTTCAGACATCGACTGCTTGTGTGTTTATTATTCTCCTGTATGTCTCACGGGCTGTGTACAACATCATAGCCATCACCAGGACTTGTCCCTCATTCGGTTACAACTGGATTAACGTCTCTGACCAGGTATGGTAAAAACCTGAAGTAAATTATCCACGTATCCACAGTGTCCAGATATAGGCCTTACATTTGTTTACAAACTTTTATTGCCATTTTGTGTGGGCGGCAAGAGTTAACAGAACATTCACCCTTGGTCCCAAACAACTTTTTGCCTTGTTTTGGGAGTCAGTTTCATTTAGGATTTAGTAGTATTTATTTTATGCTTTTACTTACGTGCAGCATGAGATTTGTAAAGACTGTGTGAATTATTCATTTGCTTTTTTTTTAACTCCTGCCCGGCCGTACATAGTTTGGCCAATCCATGCAGTGAAATGCATTGGTTTCCTGCATTGTTCATGTTGGCTGAATCATGCTTGCTTGAACTCCGGTAGCTGATCCTAGGGGATAAGGCATGGGCACCTAGTGGGCTCCTCGTTCCCCCTTCTTAGGACCGCTTGTCTTCCCTCTCTACTTTTGTACCACCCCTCTCATAACTTTGAAAGGAAAACAAGAAAAGTAATGCTTTGTCTCATCGAATCATGTGGTAATTCCCATTGTGTACTCCCTCTCCAAAAATGGCTCCCTCAAAATGTGCCTCCCTTCTGTTTCGAATTGGACCATAAGTCTTGCAATGCCTGTATTTATTGTCTTTTAGACAATATGAACTCACTGTTCTGATATGCTACTCACAGTTCCGGTATGCTGTGTTCAACAGCTTGAAAGCTAATTTGTCACCATGGAAATGACTCCTGCATCACATTGCTAAAAGGGTTGATGTGTCCAATCAAGACAGAATTGTAGTATCGCTGTTCAACTTCACAGTATCAAATGTTGATGTAACTGACCAAATCATGTTTATAGCACTTGAATAATGTTACTTGTGCAAACGGTCAGAATGTTGAGGCTTTTTTCTAATGCCAAGTTACGGTAATCATTCCTGATTGAATAAATAAGTACTTCCTCTTTTGGAAGTTCATGCAGTGTACATTTAAGTCCTCATGTCTGCTAGTTTTCATGCTTGTCATAACCAAGAGCAAATCTGTCCATGGTTGTTGATTGGGATGTATTATGCAGTTTATGTTATTGCTGACAGTCGTAAATCTTTCAGTGTTGAGAGTAGTTTTTCACACACTGTAGGGATTTAGAGCTAACTGAGGCTGGTTCATATTTGGTGCAAAAACCAAACACAGATTTGTGACATCAGATCAAATAGTCATACTGCAGATTCCCCAAAATTGGACACATTTCAACTTGCGTGTATTTTTGCTGCAAATCTTTCGTCAAATTTGTTTCACTTTCACATTTGCCCACAGCACGAACCGGCCTTAAGAATGCAAAATATTGAACTAACTTTGATTTGTGTATTGACATTTGCATACATTTTGTATTTGTGTTGACACATCTTTTGATTGAAGTTCTTTGGTTTGATGTCCTACAGACAGTGTAACAGCTTTGTTTCATTGCTTCTATTTAAGGCTGATATGATCAATACACTGAAGGGGCTTCGGTACCTGTCGTTTGGCATTATTCTGTTCATCTGGGAGTTTCTGCCGACGTTCATTGTGGTCATGTTTTTCAGAGTCAGAAAATTTGCAGCAAATGTGGTGAGTCATTTGCATTACACATGACAGGGTGAAGTAGATGGTGACTGCTGTCATTGTCTTTTGTATCAGTTACTTTGAAGATGAAAGTTTACTGAAAAATTGTTGTGACATTTGAGGTGTGTGAATGCCACACTTGTGTGAATCTCCATGTTTGCAGAATCTTAGATACAGTGACATACGTTTAACTTGTACATGTATCAACTTATTCTGGCGTGAAAAGTGACCGAAACATAACAGACATAACCTTTATTGTGAGGCCTATTTGTACATAACAAGTACGGAAAAGGGGAAATACTGCTGGACATGTATGTGCTGTTCTTCCTGTTTACTGCTGCAATGTATGGTTAGATGTAGACTATTGTTCTTCCACATTCCCCCTCTGTGAATCTCATTGTGTGGCCTGATTTTTGTTGGCATAATGCCAACTTTCTGCTACCTAATGCATTTTTAAACATGTTGACACGCCACCATAGTTGGGTGTACTTACTTACCCATCCCCTTACTAATGGGCAGTACTGACAAAGTGATCCTGAGCAAGTGAACTCAGGTTGACCCATTTTGCATGAAGTGAACAGGAACACTGATTGGGTTTCCATGTGAACTAGCACTGGGGAGATGTCTGCTTAGTATAATGTCTGTTACTAGACACAAAATTCATAGTTTAAAAAAGAAAAAGATGAAAAAAGTCTGTTGAAATAAGCTTGGTTGTGCTGTTAACTACACTGTATAGTGTACTTCAACAAGCAAAATATCTAACCCTATAGGAAGTTAATTTAATGAACCAGATATCCTGCCATTGTGGCTGAATCACTTGGGAGTACAGTACTTGTCTGAGGTAGTCCTTTATACTTCATGTCTGGTCATATGAGTGAAAAAAGGTTTGTTAAATAAGAAATTTCTCACCTGCTCAGTTAACTGTGTTCAGGTAATTGTCATGGCATTTTTGTGTGTGTGCGCGTCCCATCCAGCAGCATGTTCCTAAGGATCCGGACTGCCCCAAAACGCCTTCAAGAGCCTACTTCTTTGACAACCCTCGAAGGTATGACAGTGATGATGACCTCACACGGACACACAGCAGTACAAATGCCACACCCAGAGAGTAAGTCCAGAGCTAGTCTGACACAAAAATCTGATGGTAAAATTGGTTTTTAATTTGTTTGAAATATATAAAATACACCAGAGAGCTTCTGCAGTGAAATTGTGCTGATTCTTCACTGCTACACATGTTTTTTGACCACCATGCAATGATGCATAGGTGAAGACGATTCCTAGGAAGAACCACTACATGCAGTTTTTACTTATTATCTTGACAGCCACTGCCTCCCAAAATGAAGAGGAATTTGGCCAGGAAATGCCCCAGATTGCAACACACAGCATCCAAAATGCAAAATTTTTCCGGCCACGGACTCCACACCTTAAGGGCTGCGCACTTTGTGCTCGCACATACATCCCCCTTCCAAAAAAATCTGCCTGATTGTTCTTTTCCAATATTGGCAGCTCTGGTTTCAGCATCCAAACGGGGCAGTGATTACTTTGATATACCATGCCTTGCATTTGCAACATGTGCATGGTAAATTCTAAATTAATCTTACAATCTTCAACAAAGAAAGAATTTTGGTTTTGATTTGCATAACAAACTGTAAGATTTGATTTCTTGTGGAAAGTTGTGACAGCCTAATAATGGCCTTAACACAAGTGGTAAATTCGTTTTGTTTACAGTTGGAGAATTTTGTGTAAGTTAAAAAGAAATCAAAGTGAAACTGTTCGCCAAATATGCCATAATGTAAAAATATTCTCAACTACAATGTCTTAATGACTCAACCTGTCATTTTCAAAGAAATGATCAGATAATGAAATGAATATTTGTTCTATTTACTTTCTTGGCTTGGGAGACTTGCAATCAAACCAGTATCTTGCTACCTTGTGATTGCATTACATGTATTTACACTGCTAGACTGGTCGTTTCCTTGTGTATTAGCCCTGTTCAGTCACTGTGTTACCCAATTCAGATTCATGTTCAATAAGAGTAAATGATGAAAGTATCTCAGAAATCTTTTCTTTAGTTTGGTCAAGTGAAAGCATTCCTGTTTTTAGTTTCATGTAAGCTTTCTTAAAAAATCTTATTTTGAAGTAGTGAACACAAGATTAACGACTTGTTCACATTTTGCATTGTTTCTGGTAAGCTATCAAGGGGAAAATATGTCCATCCCAAGCACACCCATCAACGGTACTCCCCATGTGGGCTATGGAACCATCGTTCGCAGTAGCAGCTACCCGACAGGCTACGGGGTACCAGGAATGACACCACCCATGCTGTTTGCAGGTATTCCCGGTAATATCTCCATACGTGGCTATCATGAAAATGAGGCACCTGAATGACAAAAAAAGATACATTATTACAAACTAGAGTGTCTCCTTCACCCTGGAAATAGAATGTCTGTGATTGGGATTCTGTGCTGAATAGGACTAAGTACTGCATACTTTACCACCTGTCTCCCCATGGAGAAGTAATGTCTTGTACATGTATAATTTAGGGATATCCTAAATCCTTGTACATCAACATTGGTTTCAAAAATCAGTTCATGGTGGACATGTACATTCATGGGTTAATCCACCCTCCAGGAAATAGAGTTATGTTTTGTCATCATTGAGTCTCTCAACAAGGAGTATTGAATCACTGTGACTTGTCCAGATGGACCAAGGCTAAAGGTAAAAAAAGAAAAGAAATGAGCATGCTTAACCGAGCACATGGAAACTGCTTCTACTGAGTAAAACTCCAGCCGTGATCAGACCTAGAGTGTTTGATTTTTTCATGTGCCAACAGCCAACACAGTTGCCAGTGTTCAGTAGGTATGTGGTCATTCTGGCAATGAAGACTTCCTTCACAGTTTTGTTCACCCCCCGCCCCCTCTACTTTTTTTGGGAGATGAATGCTAACATAACTACTTGTATGGTAGCATTCGCACTATAGAAAACACTTTTATTGGAATTCAAAATGTCATTACCCCTGATAGTTCAGCAGTCAGTATTTCCTGATTATCTGCACTTCCTGTGAACACTTAGTTCATTTTAAGCTGTGTAATTGGTTGCCTCAGTCTAAAGTACCCACAGTAGCTAACAGGAACTCTGAGTAGCCTACCTCTGGTTAGGGAGAACCAAATGTGAAGTGCCCCGGAATCATCTTCAAGAGGGTAGTCATAATATTCAATGTTCCAGGGTTCCCAGGGTCATGGAAATTTATGGAGCATCCTAGGAAAAAGTTGTTTAGAGAATCTTGAAAAAGTCATGAAAAATAAGGAATAGAAAATAGGATGCCATGGAATCCTGTTTACTGAGAAAACCAAAAAGTAACAGAAAAGTCATGGAAATCAAGACCCTGCAAGGGTTATTTTTGATTGGCTGTGGGCCCCTTTTAATAACAGAATGATATATTTACAGGTGTCATCTTGGCGGCCTATAGTTGTGGTAATGGCAGTCTTCCATTTCATAAAACCAAACAACTTTTTTTTGCAAAAATGGCATTAAATGTCATGGAAATTGTCTTCATAATGTTAGTCCTGGAAAAAGTCATGGAATTTGGCTTGCAAATTTCTGTGGGAGCCCGTTCGTTTAACTGACAATGTTGAATTAGCATTTCATGTTCAGTGCTCTCCAAAAGCTTGTGTGAAAACATTCAGTGTGACTTGAACCCATGACCTCACACTTGACCATGTAGATGTCTTACCCACTTTGCCATGAAACTCACTCAGGTGAGTTACTTGGTTTGGATCTGGTGAAGTATTGGACCGTCAGTGATTAACAGTCAAAGACTAGGTCACAAGAATACTGCCGTAAGGACAGACAATTCAGATAACACTGATGAGCTGAAACAGTACTGCACCTCATTATTTCATGATAAAACAGGATGTAAAAGTACTTGCTCATATTTGCTGGAACAAGGGAAGGCTTTTTAGTTTTGTAGGGTATGTACATGTACATTTGTCTCCTTGAAACTTAAGCTTTATTGGCTGAAGCATCTGTTGGATTGTGGAGAGGATTACATTGTAAGAACTGTCAGTCAAATGAGGTCAGAATGATGCTGTACCATTTATTTCATTATAACACAAATTAGAAATGTCTCCTCTAATGTAGAGCTACTGGCTGCCCGCTTCACAATGGTAAATTCTAGTAAGTGTTTTGGCAGTATTTTACACATCCATTTTTTGTACACTGCACTGCCATGTAGCATAAGGACCAGTTCAGAGAACAGAGAATGGCACATCAGATGATATTAAACATCTTCAGGCTGCAAACTGTGCAGTACTAATGTTACTGAGTATAACTGCATTGTATGAATGGTCTGGATCCATTCATCACGTACTGCGATTTAGTGGTCAATTCCACCAGGCAGTACCCACCCATACTGGACATGTAGACATGTACCACGTAGTATTTCTAACATTGCTCAAGTTCCTTGACTACAGTGAAATGCATTGCCATTCAGTATGTGCATGCACAGTTTTACTGCATATTGAAACCAGTTACGTGTATCTGTTGTAACTTGTGATTGTTTTTTTGTTGTGGGTGTGTGCAGCAAACCCTGTTAGCATGCTGCTTTACAATAAGCCATAGGACATGGAAAGTACATGGACATGATAATGTAATATCCCTCCATTGTTTCTCTAAGTGCAATAATACAATTAAAGTTATTTTTTAATTTGATATGAACCTGTCACGTGAAGTGAGGGACTCAAATGGCAGTATTATGCGTATTGCTTGAGTTAGTGAGAAATCTGACCCAGAAATAGCTGAGGAATGACCCCATCATGGCCAATGGACTGAATATTCCATACTGTCCATTTTAGCTACTTGGTATACAGTCCAAACAAGATAATAGTTATGTCTTGAATTTAAAAGGTACTCTTACTCAAAGTGATAAATCCATTAGATTCATGGCAGCTCTGAACAAAATGCTATCATTTAGAAGTTAACATCACTTTGCTTTCGTAACTTCTAACTGGTCAGAGTACTTGTACATCACTATGAATATTCATCATTTTAGTCCTTCATGTATGTACTTGTATTTTTTCACTTCAAATTTTTGCCGGATTTATCGATAAAGGATTGGATGAATGTAACCTGACACCACAGTATCTTTATAAGTTTGTAAAATATGAAACCTTACATCGTATATGCAGTACCCTTCATCGCCAGTACTACAAACTCGTTCAATGTTTGAATGTAAAAATCAGAATAAGCACCGATGTGATATGATACTGCTTAGCTGTGAAATGACTTGATAATTATGCGTAAAGAATGGTTTACCTAAGACACACCCCTCATTTGTTGTGTGATGGCATTGTGATGGTGAAAGTGGATTAAGCCTCAGTACATGTACACCCGTACACTGGGGTGTGATTGGTTAATATGCACGATTGCCCTGCACAGTTGGTTGATCCTACATGAAATCTCCAACTGTGCTTCCCTTTTTGAAAAAAGCCTTTCATAATTGTGAATTTGAAGGAAGAGGTCATTGGCTGATGGCAGAAATATCGACATACTGTGGGATGAGATCTATTGATCACGTAAAGATTAAGCGATGGCTCATATTGACAGATTGCGTCATTGCACCCGACATATCATTTTCATCAAATACGCTACTGAGAGTGAATATAAATACAACTCTTGGAAAGTGCACCTTTTAATAGAGTATGTTCAACTAGAACAGTTTTCGAAACCATGTTTTTGCTGTCTGGCATACGTTGGTCTTGTCACAGGCAGGTGATTCCCATGTTGAGCAAATTTCTGTGCCATGTCACTGAATGAAATTTGCCCCGTCATTTCAACATTCTTAAGTATACAACTCAAAATGGAAGCCCTGCGCAGTGTGCCTCAACTAATGGTTCTAAGTAGAATATTTGAAAAGAATCGAACATTAACATGTCCCTGACGTAAATCCATCCTTAGAAATTGAACATGTTAGGATGGAGATAAGACATGCGGACATGTACTCATAGTGTTCAAATGCAGTGGCATTAGCGGGGGGGGGGAATTTAGAGGGTACAAATCCTGATATTTTTCAGGTGCTTGGAATTTGAAAATTGGGGATTTGGAGCTTTGAAACCTTACACTAGATGACTCTCTTAAGGATAGAAACCCTAATGTACATGTGTACGCTTTTTGCCCCTTGTAACATCTTTTAATGCCTTTGCACAATCACACTGAGAGTAGCACGTAATTAGTTTTGTTGAGATTAGACATTTTGGAAGGATATTGATCCTTCGGCCCATCACCTCTTCACTTTACACCTGTCCACGGAGGCTTTACAAAATGTAAGCTGCGGAAACAAAGACATAATCTTTGCAATTTGGACCGAGATCAAGCTTGTCATTTTTCGTTTGGTGTTATTAGACGGTATTGGCTAAAACGGCATTCCATTGCTGGTATATTTTTAACATAGTTTGGCAAGAGTTTAAATTTTTGAAAGTACCCACTCATTAAATATTTACCAAGCATTGTTCCAGCTTCACGCTTATTGGGATGGACTATTTGTGCATTACCAAATGGATTTGTCCTTTGGCCCTTTTTATAGTTTTTGTGTCACTCTATGTAATCATGTGTAACTACCCAAAAAATTAAACATCAAGCACGTCAAGTATAAACATCCCTGGTGTATTTCTGAGTAAATGGTTTTTCCTGAGAATTCTGAAATTTCAAGTGAATGTGCTCATTGAGAATATGGCTCAATCTCTTACAACTTACATGACCTTGATAACATGAATATTGATTTATTTGTTGTATATTATGATCAATGGAAAGTGTTCATGCATTGCTGTAGTTACAGGGTTGCGGCCCAGCCTGGATAATACTAAAATGCGAGATGAAATTCATGAGGGGAAGTCAAACATAAAGATGTCCAAGTGCAGACTTTGTTCATAATGCATTTTAGATCCACATGTGTACCCTCACATGGTTCATCCAGCTCGACACTTTCCATTTGTAATTAATTTAACTAACTTTTCAGAGCTTTATTTTAATATACTCTATATGATACCTGAATTCTGCTGTTGTGATAACTATACTTGATTTGCCTTTTCACTAAATTATATACTTAAAAATTCTTATTCTGGCTGCTTGGTAGTATTGTTGTATAATCTCATTTTATTGTCATGAAGTATTAAAGACCATTAATCCTGAAATTCTGTGAATTGTAAGCCTTGGAGGAGGTGAGCAGTGCAAAGAAATTGTTGCAATAAATTTACATCAAAACATGAATGAAGGAAAAATTTCCTTGTTTAATGGTGACATTAATGGTGATTTTTTTCTTTTAGGAAATTTTTAACCAATGCATCATTTTGTCAATCAGATCCCGAGTCATTTTGTCAGCTGGAGAGCAGTGTCAAGTGCCATTGTAATTCATACCCAAATTTTTCAGAATAATCATTTTTTTTCAAGAATAAGTTTTCTGTGCACCTACAGATCATACTTTAGATTGGAAATAGACCGAAAAAATTGTTAAAAATCTTACTGTCCAGCAGATCAATGACTCAACTTGTGGAATGGTGAAAATACTTGTAAACGTCAAATTTCACTGACTCTCCCATCGGCAGAATTAATAAAATGACGTCAGTAAATGGACAAATAATGGACAAAACACTTCTGCTGTCCCATGTTACTTGCAGATATTTAATGAATCTTTTATTTACTACTGACAAAATTATTATTGAACATTCATAATTTATTTGTGCATCATACAAGATGCAATTGTATTCAGACTGCATTTGTCCATGTTTTAAATTTTCAAATAGTGCATTCTTTCAAAAGGTAACGCAAGAAACCATGTTCAAGCATTTTTAGTATTACAATATATTGGCAAGTGGAATAAAAAATAAGCATAAATCATCCTAATTACAACCTTGATGGTCTTTGAACAAAATAAAATTTCAGCTGAAAGAAGTGTTTTTATTCAATAGACAGAAAACCAAAGACAGAGAAAACAAATTTTCTGAATGAAGGTCAAAAACAGAACTACACGCAATGAGAGGGGGTTCGGAATCTACTTGAACCAAAGCCAGGGTCAAAGGTCAACATATAAAAAACCAATATTTACATCATTTAAATGTAACTTTACTTGACTTATGTTTTACATTACTTTTGTTTGTATGACACAGTAAGCTTATTACAAATAATGGAAGCATTATCATATTTAAAAAGCGAACATATAGAGGTTTCAACTGAGAATTATGGTAGTTTTATCAAATCAAAATGACATCTACAGATGAATCCAAGCAGTTGAGTTCAATACAATGTCCTTTGCCACAGTGAAATCACTGCACCAGCTGTTACAACACCAAACCTACTACCTGATGGTTTTTCACAGCACCTGCTAAATGCTTTAGCTGTAGGGTGTATAATGGTCATGTACCCAGACACATCTATATTTAGTGACTGTGAAGCACTCTGAAGCCTATTTTCTCATTAACAGGAAGAAGTTGACAGTTTTTCCAGAGGCACAACAGTCTGAGAGCCAAAACGACAGAACGAACTGGCTTCAAGAAATGCACAATCACACCGCCGATTATAGGCTGCATACGATTACATCAGTGCACTGTAATGTGACGATGGCAAAAAGTTCCTAAGTAATATTACTTAAAAAAAAAAAGAAAGAGAAACCAAATGGTACCTACAAGCTGGTCAAGAGAGACAAAGACAGACTTTCAAGGGAGAGGGACATTAGTCTCTGAGTATGATTTGCTTGGTTTGATCAACAGACTGTAGATCTATCTAAACCTTGATGCATGATCCCAAACCAAAGCTGAGATTTTAAGGTTCTGTCATAGTTAATGACGATATAAAACTCCAAGTCTCTGAAGTCAAGATGTATCCTCTGTTTTACTTCAAAGCCAAATAAAAAGTTGAACAAGATGGCCAAATGATGTAGGATTTAGCAACAATAAATGGCAATCATGAATACTGACAAAAAACTATTGAATAAAACAACAAAAACTGTCGAAAATTAACATCTCCACAATGCAAAGTACATCTTGAAACAAAAACTGTGTATTCTCTTTTACAGTATATTTGCCACAGATTCCAACAGTATACTTGTCACATGTGTACCCTGTCTCCTTAGCTAAGAATCAAACAAATCCAAGATATTTACTTGATAAATGTCCAGTGCAATACTTGAGATTTCCAGGTGTTAGTTGTCTCGAAACAACTCAGATATTTTAGAGGATGACTTCAACATTTTTGTAAGTATGGTAATTTAGCAGTTGACTCAGACCTGTTCCCTGACTGGAGGGGGGAGGTTTGTCAAACCAGAAGGCAGAACGTTTGCATTGCACAACAGCTGCTACTGTTGCTCATGCCTGGATCTTGGGCTTGGTATTGGGCACACTTTCCTTCTTTTTATAGATTTGGACAATGTATTTTGCAGGCCAAATTCATCATTCTATAAAGCTTATTTTATATCATTCTTACTCAAATATCATTCTTACTCAAAACTGTTTGCTGATTGTGAAAATTAAAAAGAACTTAAAACTCATTCAAACATCTTGTGTGGAAAAAGAGCCCCAAGTAATGGGTTCATCTGAACACCAGTTCTCCAGCATACGGGCCTATCAATGGTCTGGAGTTCACGTCCAAGCTTAGTAAAAATTTCACCGTCGATGTGTTGCTAAGAAAGAGATCATTCCTGATGGTGTTTCTGAACTCTGCATCGTGTAGTGCTTGTCAAGCTGGTTCGAGAACTCTTTTATGTGAGTGATCCCACAGCTTCTACAAGTTGCAGTCCCAGAGCGTACTGTGGGTGTGTCTCTGGGAGCAGACCGACGGCTTTGCTGACCAGATGAGCAGTGTCTGGAATGGGTGGATGGGGGCATCGCAGGTTGGAGTCTTTAGCCTGTGTTTGGAAATCAAGATGACCTCAACTCTGATATGGGGATAGTTCACATTAGTTTGGAACTATCATGTGTCTTCCAAAAAGGTAAGTGAAAAAAAATCAGAGTTCCAATTACTGGTCTTACTTGAACTATCCCTGAACAGTTTTAGCATCACTTGTCATTGATACTCATTAACACCGTTGGGGGTTCGTTCTCAAATCTTTTTATGTGTTTCAAAGTTATTTCTTCTTGAATAAGTATGTAGGAGATGGGCAGAAATATACCAATGAAAATGAAACCAGGGGTAAGCTGCTTGTACAATAGCTGGCTCAGTAATGGATCCAACATTTGAGTGCACAATGACTTGGAGCTGAAATTGGTCTATCTGCTCTGAGTGGGAACAAAAGAGGGTGTGATTTTTAGACACTTGATGCCTAGTTTGTCAGACAAAGCTGCACATTACTAAAGCAGATCACTTTTGTTTCAAACTATCGATTACTAGCTCTTCTTACCAACACTTTCAGCCATGTCATGAGGGAGGCTGGAAGGGAAGATTGTCGGGCAACACTGGCAGGATTGACATCTAGAATAAACACCTGGGCTAAACGGAGACCTATTACATTGATTAGCCCAATGGCCATCTGAGTGTGGTCTGTTACAGTCACTAAAACCTGTTGAATATGAAAGACACAATTCAGCTGACCTCAAAATCTGGGTGCAGTCTACCCAAGTTGCTTTGATCTGTTGAATATTCAAAACGGAACATTACCTAATAGTTCATCTACAGATTTGGTGGTTATGTACACGTACATGTATAGCACCAATACCAAACAAATGTTCACGTGTGAAACACAAATATATATGAGCTGTCTGTCACTTGTATAATTTGGATTACTTTCACTGTCATTGAACCCTGCTGTGACAAGAAAAGAGTGGCAAACCGATTATAAAAGAACGCTCATGACATGAAATACAGGTGGTAAAATGAGGGTGCTCATATTGGGCCTGCTTTTGTATCACAAAGGCCCGCGTTCTTGTCTTCCAAAGGTCATGAATGCTCAAAGTTCATACATATATATATGACCTGAATTAATGCCTATTGCTTTTCAAATCATTACAGCCAAACACTGAATAAACCGTATTTGATAAACCCTGATATATAGATATGTCGCATATTCTTTTCTTGAGAATTTCATCATTGCTTTTACAATACAATCAAACTATTCAAAAGCTCGATATTATAACAAATACAGTTGACTCTCATTATTACGAAATCGGCCATGACGAAATTCCAGTTATAACAGACACAAGTCTGTGGTCCCGTTGAAAACGTGCACATTTATATGGGGAAAAAATCTGTAACAGCGAAATCGCATGGTACGAAATTCCTGTTACAACGAATGGTTTTCGTGACTCCGTTGCCTGAAAAGCCATTGTTGACGACCCATTTATAACAAGTGTTTGCAAATTGCTGCGGTGAAAATACGTGTGCAGTGCATCACACTGGTTCCCACCAGGCCAAACCGAACAGAAATGCGGCAACCAGTCAATGTACAGTTCCTGCCAAAAAGGGTCGCGAACGTTCCTCTACATTTACATGAACTTCGTATACGAAAGCAGCTCTACGGTTGCAAGTCAAAAAAACAATGCCATCACAAATTTTTCTGCAGGTTCATTCACAAAAATTGATCTCATGTCTATGTTTGTGTTTTCTGTGTTCATGGATATAATTTGAAGATGTACTGCTCATACTCAAAACGGTACACACAGGCTTACATGTGCATGCCATTTAGCTTTGTTGTCATTCATGGCGATCGAAAATCCCTCGATCTGTGCTTTCACGTGTATTTGCTTTTTAAATCTTGCATGCACATTAAACACGTTTTCATATGACAGTGAATTTTATTATTTTAAACACATCACAATATATTTGATGAATTATAACCGAAAGATCTTTTTGATATAACATCAACCACGCGTTCACGTTTATGCACATACATGTACATGCACACACATACATGTGCATATGCATTGTCCCCACATGGTATTGTACAACAATGCACCGAAGCCATAGCACTGCGTTCCGCTTACAACAAATTTCGGACACAACGTTTCAACGTGGTCCTGTGGATTTTGTAATAATGAGACTCAACTGTATATGCAAGTCTGGTTACTGTTTCATTTCAGCTACATTGTCTCTGAAGTTAACTACTTTTCAGTACTTTACCTCTTGTCCAATGGCATCATATCCACTCTTGTACAGCTCACAGACGTGGTGTCTCTTCAGACCGTCTACATCACTGCCAAAGGCTATGGCCAGCTGGACCGCAGTCCCCGGCCAGGTGTGAGCCGGGTGACTCCTGCGGAGTCTGCGGATGTCCAGGGGACCGGGGCTGGACGGCATGATGGGCGGTGACTGGCAGATGGGCTCCGCGTCCTTGGGGTCCACAGAGTGATTTGGAGGGAGACTTTCTACAGCAGCTGTGATGATCCTCATCATGAACTGGAAAAACCCGGAAGGCAATTGTTGGCACACTTTCAATACCAATTTCAGAAAAAGTTGACCCCCCGTCCATATCCTTCTAAGGACACACACTGCATCCAAACTCTTAAGAAAATTGAACATGATAGTTTCCTATGACTGTTATGAGATTGTGAGCAAATAAACACAATAAAGGCAGTGACATTCCTTATCGGAATTGTTCAATTTGTTGGATAAGTTTTGAGATTCATTAAGTATGCTGCTGCATTCATCCTAAGCATGGTAAAGTCAGGCACCTTTTAGTAAAATCTAATGTTACAGTTTACAGTATAGGCTTCAACTTTCCAATTAGGATTGAGCTCCATCATTTTACAGAAAATGACTGATTGAGTTTCAACAGTTTGAAGAATGTGGTTGATTGGGTTTCAACAGTTTGAAGAATGTGGTTGATTGGAATCGAGTTTCCCACATCATCAAACAAACCACATAGAGAAACTGACTTGGTGCTTGAATAGTAATTGTGAAGATGAACAAAGACATTGACCGGAGCAGGACTTGAACCTGAGACCTCTAGCAGAATTTGGCTGACCTGTTCTCTGTTCCTCTGTAGTCCCTGGTCGACCTCTCCAGTGGGTTGCATGACAGGGGCATCTAGGTCCCTGAAGAAGGCATTCCTAGCTTTGTAGTCAAACAAGACCTTAAGTGGCTTGATGGACTTGATGTTGAACACCAAAACTGATGAAAAGCAAAAAAACCCACAAAATGCATTGATCTGGGGTCAAAGTGTCGCTCAAAATTATTTCGGCTGATGCTCGCGCCTTTAACCCCTTCACGGCGGGATTATTTTGACCGCGACTGCTGGGCTGTGGTATGCCCTGAATGGAGGCTGTTGTCAATCAGCAGGCCCACTGAACCAGCAGCTGCATGGTGAATAGACTGTATGTGTGGTATGCACTAATCCTCACAACGGTGCGGTAGTAGCAGTCATCCATAGCGAATGGGTTAATGGAAGTTTTGAGTGTTGAACAGTATAGAAAATGAAACTCATTCTATGAGTAACACTCTCGCATTTTGACTGCCAGAATTAAGGTTTAGGACAAAAACAGGTTATCACAATATGAACCTCTATTTGGAAAAATTTTTCTTGTACGTGGGGGTTAGTAGTAAGTCCACACATACTGGCACCGTAAGTGTTGGGACTACACACATGTTGAACACAAAAATTCATTATTGGGACAAATTGATGTCCGTATAACTCAGGCCCAACTTTCCTAGCAAAGCAGTTGCCCCTTTGATGTGGGGTTGGCCAGGGTACACTCACTTGCATGTAGTGATGTCGTCAGTTGCTTGTGTAGATCCACCATGTAGTGGTTTGGTAGCGGCTGGCTGACAGCTAACTCAGCTAGCGGTGTGGGGCCCTGAATGTCTTGCCATAGCTCCTCCATCTCCAGGGAGGGGACCAGGGAAGACTCGGTCTCTACCTGCAGGGGTACAAACCAGGATAATGATTGGCTTTTTCCTAATTGGGTGACTGTTCATATATTGGCCAATGCAAAGGAGACAAGAGGGAAAGCGTAAGGGAAAGTGTGTTTTACTGTTGCTAGAAATCAGAACAACATGTGATTGAAACTTGGGAGAAAAAAAAAAAAGAAGACTAAATTACGCTTCAGATGATGAAGAATTATGTTCTATGTAGAACGCTGTAAACCCATCCACATTTCTTAAAAAATCTAATCTGTTTATTTTGCTTTTGCTTTTTTGTATGTGCACTGTGGACAATTCAGACTGAAACAAAAAAATGCATTTTTACAAAGTTCAGACATCGATCAAATTGGCGCATAAGGTAACATACCATTAACCTTCCTGTTCATCAGATTTACTCCTAAATGTACATTTCCAGCACCAATACCTGTTGGTTCCAAACACTGCATTCATCTCTGCCCTTACAGGAGAGATGTGATCCATGTCAAAGTATCTTGTAGGAAGACACAAGCATTCCCTGAGTGGGTTGGGAACTGCTTGCGTTTGATGGATGGATATGGTTTACAATTCCTCTATTAAACACACATACAGCAACTTACCACATAAATCATGTCCAGTAACTCACAGCAAAGTCCAATGAATGACTCTAACGACACATCACTGATACCGACATCCTGAAAATGAAGTGCACAAAGAAATTAATCATGGAATGCAGGGAAAGTAGAAAGCCGCACAGTGAACTGGGATTGTCTTTTATAACAAGGATGTGAAAAACAGATGACGAAACCTTGGTCCTGGAGGCAAAAGCAGGACGCTCAAAATATGAAAAATGGCCAAATGTTTCAGGTGTGTTTGAAAAAACAAAGAACAGGTGGCTATCAACAGCTAGATTTGAAAAGTAATAAACATTGGGGATTATACAAGAAAAACAAAACATTTGAAATTCAACTACAAAGGAAGATTACAGAAACTGAAATGAAAGATGTATCCTTTCACCTTCCGACATAGTCTATCCTTGGGTGCTTTGCCAATTTTGTCGATGAGGAAAGCTGTTGAAGAGACCCGCTTGACAGTAAAGGTATGCCACATCATGCTGGCTATGCCTACAATGCAGACACAAGATTGAAAAAAAATAACGCATTTACACTTTATCACTTAAATTACCACGACATTAATGCATTCTCTTGTATAGAATCTGTTTCCTTCTGAGCACAGAGCGTACATAGTTACACAAGAAGGTACTGTGTAGTATTCGCAAGTGTCTTTTGCACACATCTCCCATTATTCTGACCAGTCGCACCAAAGCATGTTACCTCATTTGCATACTTACCATGTTGAAGTAGAGGATTACGTATCGTCTGCAAGTGACCCAGGGCTGACTTGAGTAAGTCTGTTATCTGGCAACAAATAACACATCTTCTTTCCATGAAATGATGTAATGAATCAAATATAGAATACACAATCTGAACCATATACATTCCCCCACCCAAAAACACTGTTGTCACAGCAAGAAAATCTTGAAACATGAGCTGAAGTATATCAACGAAAAAAAACATGGTTCAATTCCTTCACAGATGGCTAAAGTATCTACAGAGAAGCAAATGACACCAACTTATGTCAGCATGCACGCTGCCCCATTTAGCAAATTTATTCTTACAAGACTGTTACTCTCACATAGACCTCCACAGTGTAATCCGC